TGAGAGTTAGTCGTCTTTGTTGTTTGTTTGGTGGAATGTAGTTCAGAGTACTTTTTCTTAAAATGTGTCCATCTTCTCCTGAATTATTATTCATGATGAAGACATTGCAATTTTGAATTTAGGAGTATGATTAAAAACATAGTATTAAAACAATTTGTTAACAAAGGCTTTAATTAATGATTACAAACAGATGTAATGCTGATTGCCATATACTCCTTTCGACTCCTTCTTTTGTCTTGTTTTAATTTTGATCCTATTTTATTTTAACCCTTATGTCTATTAATCATCATCTCTTCTGTATGTCTTCACTGATACAAAAGTAGATTGAAGTTTAAAAGTTAGAATTATTCAAAGTGTACAAAACAACTATTTGGATGATTGTTTAAATGGTTTGAAATGACTAAGGGGTAAATCCTGACATAGCATAAATAATGCTATTTTAGTTACCAGGACACACTTAATATTTTTCCTTGTAGTTGATGACTTGTTCAGATGAATCTTAAATTACATACAAAAATCATGTGACAAAGATAGGCATATGATGGATTTATTTGAATATTTATTAATCCGGTAATTTTGAACTCCAGATTTGTAGATTCTTGTAAGGGGTAATTAAATATACTTTTGCTTGGGAGGGTTTTCTAGAAACATTTGTCAATATTGTTTTTTCAATATCAAAAGAGTTGCCACCAGAGGTGTCATGTTCCTTGGAATTCTTAAAAGCTGAGGTGACAGAAAACAGACTGGATCCACTTTGAAGGAATCCAGATCTCACATGCAGTGGGCAAGGGGTCGAACAGGTGACATTTTATTCATTCAATAAATATTTATTGAACACCAACAAAATGCCAGACTCTGTGATAAGCTAGAGTGATAAATCAGTGAGCAAAAGAAACAGCTCTTCTTCACTCCTGGGATTTAAGATCCTTTTCCACCCTAAGCATCTCATTTTTCACAGAAGCTATTGTCTTCACTATTAAATGGGCTTCATAGCACTGCTCTACAGGCTAATTTTTTAAATTATATGAAATAAAGTGTGTAGAAGTGCCCATTGAGAAAATATGAGAAGTTGAGAAAGTCGATAAAATGTGAGGAGATGCTGGGGAATGATCATGGATGTTGAGAGCAAGATTCCCTAGTGTACTCACCTATTCAGGCTTACTATCATTAATTATATAACCAAAGAAGCAGTGTATTTTTTGAATGGACAATTCTTTTATATAATGGAAATTCTTATTTAGTTCTTCAATTAATAATTGTGAACATGGAATCAGAGCTAAGTCTAATGCTCCAAGATGTTTTCACGGGAAAATTCTACAAGCTATTTAGGCAAGATGCATCTTTGAAGAGCAGCCTAAACAAGTAGTCACTCATAAACCTCAGCTGTGACCCTGTTTTGATATTTCATTTTACAGAACAAAACGCCCCTCTTGAGTTTACACTGCACAGGCACGTGGCGCAGTCTCCAAGGCTGCCTGCTCCTCCTTGGATGCAAATGAGTGTTCTTATTTAGAGGAAGAAAGGACAATGTAAAATAGAGTGTGTCTGTTCATCAGAAATCAGTAACACAGCTTTTGAGAAGAGACACAAAGAGGCCAGGTTTCAGAGCAAAACCCATGACTAGGAGAATGGGGCTATGTGCTTTTCTGGAAAAGTGGCTTTTCCTTCTCCGTGATTGATGACCTGTCTGGTGTGAGGCGGGCCACAGTAGTAATGTCAGGGCTTACTCTCAATAGTAAAAAACAACCTGTCAGTTCTGATGTGATGGAGGAAAACAGAGGATTGGGAATATAGAGTTGAAATGGCCACAGAGAGTCCTTGAATTTAGGCACATAATGCAAAATGATTTTGTTTAAAATTGATTGTAAATTTATTTTACACATACCGAGCAAAGATTGAAAATAACAAACCAAAAATTAACAGGAATTACTTTTAGAAAGTAGTAAAAAAGGTATCAATTCTTCACTTTACAAATTTTATTCACGAACGTATAATTTTTTTAAAATTGATCTTAGAGAGAGGGAGAGAGAGAGATGTGAGAAACATCAATCGGTTGCCTCCCACACATGCCTCAACCAGGGATCAAACCCACCATCTTTTGTTGTATGGGATGACATGCCCACCAATTGAGCCACACCAACCAGAGCACCATGTATAAACTTTAAAATCAAATGTATGTGTGGTGATAAAANCCAGGGATCAAACCCACCGTCTTTTGTTGTATGGGATGACATGCCCACCAATTGAGCCACACCAACCAGAGCACCATGTATAAACTTTAAAATCAAATGTATGTGTGGTGATAAAAATAAAATTATATATTTAATGACACAACGTATTTTAGTGGAGGGAGCATGGAATTTAGAATCTAACCTACATTCATATCCTAACTCTTACCTAAGTAGCTGAAAAAAATATCCTTGATAATACTTTTCTCCTTGTAGGATAACATTATAAAATTGAACACAGTACCCAACCTGCCTCGACCCCCAGGAGTGAGCTCACTCTCTTGTCAGCTCTCCTTTCCTCCCTGTTGAAGCCCTAAGGCCTGAGAGATTCAGCCCTAAGAACCAGCTGCTACTCTGTTCCTACATTTTCTTTCCCCTAATAACACAGTTGTATACGTGGTAGCCTGTGGTGAACCCTAGTCCCTCGCCCTGTGACCCCTTAACCTTTTTGAAAGGTATATACTCTATGTGTAACAGTGGGGAANATATACTTGGTAGCCTGTGGTGAACCCTAGTCCCTCGCCCTGTACCCCTTAACCTTTTTGAAAGGTATATACTCTATGTGTAACAGTGGGGAATTGTCCCCCACCCCACTATTCTTTTGACATTGTTTTACATAGTCGATCTACATTGATCTACATATTAGAGTCACTGCTGACTCTAATATGTAGCTTTTAAATAAATAGCATGGTTGTACAAAAGTCCTAGGATCTACCTTCAGAAGATAAGGAATCTGACCTTCAGTCATTCTATCTCTAGAATAATTGCTAACCTTCAACCATAAAACCAGGGTGACGTAAAGCCAGGATGATGCACACCAGGCCATCACCGGACCGGTTTCTAGGTCCTTATCAGAATAGACTGTGCTGGACTGCATGTAGAGAACTTTTCAACTCCCTCCCCTTGATTTCTCTGTTCTGCTTTCCCTCGCCCTCTGTGTAAAAACCTCTGCCTGCACTGAGATGTGGAGATGGGCTTTGTGACAATCAGAGTACCCCATCTTCTCAGGTGACCAGCACCTGAATAAACGTCTTTCCTTTTTCACCAATACCTGTCTCAAGTTTGGCTTTCCTGATAGCAGGGAGCTAAACCATGGGCATTCACATTCACATTAGAACTCAAAACAGTCTTGCCAACTTTTCTTCGATCTACATTCTTTTACATAATACATTACCTTTCTCTTAGGAGCAAGCCTATGGGTCCTTGGTCTCTCTACCTAACATATATTTTGTGGTTTTCCACTATAGCCCTGTTACTAAGAATTACCAGAGCCTTTTCACTGTGGGCTCCCACTTATTTCTGAATTACTTGAGAACAGAAATCTTGTCTTCTCATGAAAGTGTGCTAAATATATATCAGTATATATTAAGCAGTCAAAAAAAAAGTCATGTAAAGAAAATAATGCTTCTACTTTTTTAAAACTTTGTTAAAATCTTCCTTTATATGAGACACATTCTCAATTAAAATAGGTCAGTGAAAAAATGAACTATATACAGGTAAATTTATAGGGACAGAAAGTAGATTAGAAGTAACCAGAGGTTGGGGGAAGGGGAAATATGAAATTATTGTTTAGTGGGTACAGTTTTTTTCTTGGGGGTTATGGAAAAGTTTGAGAAATATAGTGGTGATGGTAACACACATGGTGAATGCAATTAATGACACTGAACTGTACACTTAAAATAGTTAAAATGTCAATTTTTATGTGATTCGTATATGTATATATATTTATTTACCACAATTAAATAAAAAATGAATTATTTACAAATAGGAAAAGCACTGAATTATTCAAGATCACTAAATACATATTTTCTAAAAAGAAAAGCTCCTTTGCTAAATAAAGAATACATAAAAGGAAGCTCAGCAATCAGTCTTGGAAATAAATACAATGGTAGCAATACTTTTTTTCATTTATTCTCATTTAAGAAACATATTGCTGCAACAGAAACCATCGTTAAATAACGAAATGAATTTATAAAGTGGATAAGTGAATAACTGAGTGATGAAATGAAGCACCACTTAAATGAACGAACCTCAGGTCGAATGCCTGGGCATAGCTGGGCTCAGCTTATCACTGCTGGTTGCAGGCAGACGTTAGCGGGTAAAACAGTGGGCTGTCCCCACGGACATGAACACACTGCCATTCATTTGTCATAGGAAGTGGTCAAGTTTAATAGTAATATGACTTAAGGGTCAGATTGACCGGATATGTGCCCCAGATCTGCCTTCCTTCTCTTTCTGGGAACAATGTAAGATTTTAATCTCGCTGAAGTGCGGTTTTCTTATCTAACAAGTAAAAGAAAAAAAATCCAACATCACTGCTTTTTAATGAAGGTGATGAGCGCCTGGCGAAGGCCGATCATGCCGGAGTCCTTTACTTCTCCACTGCACAGAGCCCAAATGTCTATGTTGAACAAGCGGTCATTCTACGTGAAACATCATGAGTTCTAAAAATCACGTTGGTACCAGAGATTTTGTGTGTGTACATTTCTCTCTTTCCTTTTGAAGCTTAACTTTATACTTCGCATACTTGGTAAGTGATGCAATAGTGTTCCACCTCAAGTTCCAGGCTTCGGAGAAATAGCAATCGTGTTCAGAGCACCCCTTATTGTTGGCGACCTGTAAATTATCTTTCCCCAAAAAACATGCAGTTAAAATGCAGACGCGTTATTTTGCTGAAACGGCACTCTTACACGCATTGATTTCCATGTGGAAATTTTTCTAATTATTTTTTCTCCTTCTGTCTCCCTTTCTCCCATGCTGACTTCGGTGTAGCAGACCACTTGGGGATCGAATTCATGGGTAAGACTCAACATTTGCTTCTTAAATATCTGGATAAAGTGAAGTTTGAAATGTATTTGGTGTTCTCCTTCCTCGTCTAATTACACTTGAAATGTTTCATTATCAGATGCTATTAGTAGTAAGAAATGTTTTTATAGATTTTCCACTAAGTAATGGCTCAAAATGAAAGACTTAACTACTTATTGGGAATTCAATTGAATGTTAAGTGCAGCTCTGGAATCATACAGGAGTTAGACTGGGTTCCTGGCTTTGATTGTTTGCTCTAATTCTCAATTTTCTTATCCTCAGAATAGGAATAATAATCGTTCTTATTTTGCTGCATGCATAAATTGCTTAGCACAATGTTTACAAGGTGGCAAACACTCAATAAATGATAGAAAATAATTGTGATGGTTCAAAATGTCACCTTTGCTGTTTTCTGCTGTAATTTGTATTCCCTTTGCATGATGATTGCTTTGGATGCATTTTGGTATCAATCTTAGTTTTGAGAATGGACTATATAAACTTTTCATTTTACAAAATTAAAATATTTCTTTTAAAAGTACTTGCAGTGATCTGCATGCTTTTAAAGGTATTACAATGCCTTCCACGGGAACTATTCTCTGTATTCATAGATAATTATATTTAGAATGGGTCAGACTTTTCTGAGTCTAAATTATAAGTGCAATGAAAAAAAGGGGGGGTTGGGGTTGATATGCATCATGGCGCAAAGGTGGAAAGATCCTTAAGAGTTAAACTTAGTGAGATGGAGACGACCTCAATTTGATTCCAAATTTATAATTATCTGCTTCATTGGCTTCTGTTAAACTTCAGGTTCTTCTCTTACATGGTAGGGATATAAATACTTGCTTCATACATGAGGTGCCCATTGTGGTAATACTTAGGAATTTGTCTTCATTTATTCATTCGCCCATTCATTCAGCAAATATTTATCAAATACTCACTATAAGCAAAGAAAAAATGGCAAAATGCTAGAGACAAAATGTGAAAATGAACAAAAAAAAATGATTCGATGGAGCTTATAGTTTAATAAGCTTACAGGTGATAATCAGGCAATAATACTAATAAACATAAAATTGCAAATTTCTTAACACCTGTGGCAGGCAAGATATAGGAAAACATTGTTGGATAGATAAATATGATATCAACAAGTATTTGAGAGGAATTGAAGTTGAAGGCTAGAAGGAGGAGATTCTTAGGATGACTGCAGGGTTTATAGTTTTTATATTAAATAAAAAATGGGCCCATCTACTGAGAAAGGAACAAATTTATGAGAAATGTTTCATAGATTTGGTTTGGAAATGCTGAGTTCTGGAAGCCTTTGTTATATCTGAGAGAAGATGGCAAGTTGGTAGTCGTATGGCTGGAAGTTTTAGGGTTAATTAGCTATTAGAGATTGCATATTTATATTGGAATTGAATCTCCCTGTTACATGTTATTATTTACTGGTGCTCTATTATCTCAGTGTTAGATTATAGAAAAGGCAAAGACAGTTCAATTCCTACATTTTATTGCCCTTAAGAGTTTTTGTCACATCTATCTAGAAAATATTCAAAGGAAGCATTTAGAAATGTAAGGTGGTATGGAAAGAAGTGATGGAAGGGTGGCTATTTCAGTGGACTCAATGAGCAGTCATCATGGGAATACTAAAAGAAGTTGGCATGGAAAGGAGACTGTAGTTATCTGGGCTAAGAAGTACAGAAGATTACGGTCACGGTCACGCAGGGGAGTATAAATTGTATGTTGAGAAGGACATGTGGTTTTTACTTTTCTGATTTATTGATGGTGAGGATTAGCAGCATGGAAGTCTGAGCATAATGGTCACTGTGACGATAATGGGCACTGGGCACAGTGGAGACACAATTTGTCTCACTGGACTGTGGTGACTGGAGGCTTGGAGAACAGAGGCTTCAGTTTAATTGTTATGTAGCAGAATGACTGATACAGGAAATACCTCACGGGTGGTAGGTGGGGACAGGGTAGCTTCAGAAAGCACAAAGTGGTGTGGCTGTGGTTACAGTAAATTGCTACATCAATGTTCACCTTGTTGTTCAAAGTCATCAGCCAGTCACCATCCTCCTGGGCTTTTCCTGAGGCCCTCCAGTGACACTGACACCTGATAGCATCACAATTTGCTAAGGAACCAAGATACATATTAAGAGGTCTATTAAAACATTTGAAATAATTTAGGCACTTGTAGGTGAAAAAACATTAGATCATTTAAATGTAGATGATCCATATGAAACTCAAGACTAAGGACATAGCAAACCTTTCAGAAGGTGGAGTCAAACCATAGCTCTAAAGCCTTACAGGCAATGAGATCTCAGTGTGTGAGTGTTTCACTCCAGCAGAGATGGCCACGGAGGGAAGCCGATGGGCAACAAGGCAGAGTTAAAGGGATTACACACGCATCCAGACAATGGCAACTAATGAAGAATTGTTGGTAATGCTGACTAGGTTAGTAAAGAAACTGTTTTCATTAATCTCACTAGTTCTAGGCACTATTTACCCCCACAGGTTGCTCTAACTGAAGATGTAAAAATTATTTTTGTTGCTTTGGAAACAAATATTTTCATATTTAACTTGAGACTTTAGAATTCATATAAATAAAATTTCTTCCACTGCAGGTGACTTCATCCCAGTACTAAGGCATCTCTAGGTACAAATTCACTGGGAAGCAGAAATGTAGGCAATTTAATCATGTGGGTATATTGGTGCACTGAAAATGATCAGTACCAGCTCTGTTTTAATGAGCTCTAGAGCTCCTTTATTGTCAGTTCTTCATTCTGGCTTTGGACAATGTTAATCTCATCTTTCCTTGAGCTGGAACATAGTTCACAAGGTGATAATCTGAAACACATGTACTTTTTCCAAGTCTTTGTTACCCAGTAGCCACATCTGTGTGCACTCTTATTGATCAGACTCAACACCTGAGTACTTCATACAAATCCTTATTTATAGCAGGAACTCCAAATCACGTTTCAAGAATCATATTGTTATTTAATCAACATACACTTATTATACTATGTGCCAGATACATAGAATATTGAAGATACAGATATAAAATCCACATTCCTTTATGTCTGAGGGCTCTGACACTAAAAAGAAAAGAGAGAAAGCTACACATAATTGTGGTAATAATATAAGAGGTGCTATAAATAAAAATGACATAGGCAAAATATAATGGAAGGAAGGAGGGAAGGAAGGAAGGAAGGAAGGAAGGAAGGAAGGAAGGAAGGAAGAAAGAAAGAAAGAAAGAAAGAAAGAAAGAAAGAAAGAAAGAAAGAAAGAAAGAAAGAAAGAAAGAAAGTTAAATGTTAAATGGGCTTGGGAAATTCAGAGACAACCCCCAGGAGAGGAAACATTTAAGCTGAGTACCAGCCGAAGCAGATAAACTGTACCCAGGGATGCCATAGCCCAAAGCTATACTCACTCTGTTGCTCCCACTTTAGGGCAAACCTTTCTATTTCAGTCTATCTGGGCCTCTAAGGTCTCTAGAGTCACTGCTTTAGCACTAGAGAGAGAATATCAGCTTCACTAAAACCACTTAACCAAAAACTTTTCTGAGTTGATTTATTAATTGTAAAGAATACCTACCCTATTGAGTAAGCCATGCCAAAGCTAATGTCCATAAAACCGTCAGCGTTCAAAAGGACTTTTCCTTAATGCCATTCCTGAATTTTTAATTACATTCATAATGGTGCTTCTGGGATTGCTACAATGGACATTTCAACAACAAATGCTGCTCTGGAATAGCGTAGTAGTCAAGGTGCATGAAAACACAAAATTGTGAGGTGTTTGGGGAAAAATTTAGTTCATGTTAAACCAATAACCAAAACGATTTTTTGAATTCATGACTTAACCTACTCATTCAGGCATGCACGAGGGAAAGTTGAGGTCCTTAGGGTGCAATGTCTGAGCCTCCCTCACATGCTGACAGATCGGATGGCACAGGCGAGCACCCGCGGAGCTGCGAGGGAAACCCGACGGCCATCCAGAGGGCCCAAGGGCACGTCCGAGTGGCGAGGCCTGGAAGGCACCTTGGTCACGAAGGGCTGCTTCTCATCTGGGAACCCTCTGGCCGCTGTGTCGGGGGCTCAGGCACGGAGCTCATCTCATTACTTCATTCGAGCTCCACATTGATACTCTAGGCATCAAAATGTTTGTCCTAAAGCAGGTGCAAAGCCATTTGCAACCATGTTAGCGACCCACAGGGAGAGCTGTGGACCAGGTGGGAAATCTTTCATGCTAATGTGTTTCAGTCTTACATGGGAAAATAAAACAAACTGTCTGTTAAATGTTTTGTTTGTGATTTGGCATTGTTTTTAGGATAGCATAATATATTTAAGCAAGGTTTGATTGAGTAAGCTGTAGTATACATTTTTTAAAATCAAAATATTTATAAAACTTGGAAAAAATCAGAATTTAAATTGAAACCTTTAAAAAATTTTTTTAAATAATTTCTGCATTTTGAAGTTTAAGAAGAAACACTGAGTTTTTTGTTTGTTTTTTTTTAATGAGAAGCTTAGAAATGGATAGATTCAGAACTAACAAAGTTATTAATTAAATTTTACCATATACACACTTAAGGTAATCTGAACAGTGAACAGTTTCAAACTCTGTTTGGATGATGGGAAGTGGGGCTATTTTCCTTAATGCTACTCTGCTTATTATGAATGAATTGCAGTGTGTTCCTTTAAATTTAACAGGCTCACGTCTCAGTCAAATGAATTTATGTGATGTCCTAATTTTTGAATTTCATTAGAGATATAGAAGTAAGGATTTTTTTCTCTAGGCTGAAATTTCTGACTTAGGTTTACGGGAAAAAAAAATTTTTATTCATTTGAATATATCATGTTTCTTTGTAATATAGAATGGAAATTTATGTACAAATATAGTTGTATGTGTGTTTGTAGAAGGGTTACGATATAAAGTATTTGTTTAGCTTTTCTTATATTAAACTACATGAGAAATCAGAAGTGTCAGAGTAATATAAGTCA